CCGGAATTTCAGCCCAAGCCCGCTTTATCTAACAAAGGACCAGGTTTCGCAATGGGACCTTCTATTTTCCCGCTGGGCCCCAGCGGGTAAACTCAAAGGAAAGTCAGTCATCATCCAGGAAAGGTTCTGCCTCTGGATGTTGTCCTTACGCGGTTTGTTTGACACTCATCCAAATGCAATTTTTTTTAGAGGTAAAGGGTTCTCCAGATCTTGTGGCCAGCGAGGCTTTGAGCTGTTCATCTCTGCACAACTGCTTGGCTTTCAGCCACAGAAGTAATACACCAACGTCAATTCCTGTGCTCAATTGCTTTGACCTGTTTTGACAACATCTGGCCAATCAGAAGAGGCCGTTCCCACGACTTCGTGTTTCGTAGATTTCCTATTTTGGTATTGCGCAAGTTATGGTCGTTTAAGGTAATTATTTGGGCATTTTTCACTAGCAAAGCTGAATACATAACTACAGCAAAAGTCGTTGCGTAGCAGTGTTGTGAAATGTTTCCACTCAAAATTGATTTCCTAGACTTATTATGAATTTAATTGTGTATTTAGTGAGTTGTAATTTCGTTACCGTTAAAGCACAAGTAACACTATTCCGAGACTACGGCTTTGTTTTAGAACAGAATGGGGTTATAGGCCTAGGGAAATCAATCCAAAATACCGGCGAACAATTGCTCTCACCTTTAGAAGAGAATCACAATATCAGAAGTAACATGTAATTGGGAGCGGCATAGGGTAATCAAGTTAGTTGTGCGAGCAGTGATGTATGAAACTAGGTATTTGCAGGGCATTCAGCCGCAAGAAACTTAGCAGCATGACAGTCAAGAAAAACCATGTTTAATAGGAAATCAGTGCCAACGAATCGTTGTAGAACGTAAGTGAATCTTAAATCCGACACGGAATCCGGGTGTGGATTTCCTGAGCTAATAAATGTGACATTTTCGTAACCCTAGGATTAGATTGTTCTAGAGTAGATAGATCGCAGAACGGAACGTGTAATGCTGAATTGTCGTCAATAAAGCCTGAATCAAGAGAAAGTATACAGTCCAAGATCTAAATTACTGAACCAGCGTGTGCGGAATTCTCAGCAACGCAAGTGGGAACTTCTGCGAAAAGCAGATAGCACAACTGTAGAACACTGAAGTAAAGACAATCGTACTAAGCCATGCCGAATCATTTCAACCTGGAGGATTGCGAACGATTCCTGCACGACGAAAACCAGTTTAGTCCAGGAGCGTCGAAACGCATCGAAAAATACCTTAAAATTTCTCGAGAAGGCCTGGACGAGTTTTTGATTCGATTCCCAGAGATGATTCGAAACGAAGATCAATTGTTCTATATCGTGCGATTTATGAGGGCGCATCACAAGTTCGACACGCAAGATCACGAAAGAATTTTCAACAATTACCTTTTTACAACTATGGAGAGAAAAGTGACGGAGCTACTCGCTGTTGTGGAGCAAAAAGACCCTCACACGTATTGGTATTTGATGCATGCTCTGCAGTCAAAACATTCCCCTTTGTATGAGCATCTTCACGGATCCATAAGATGTTGTGGTACGTAGAAGATTTGTTACTGCTGGCCGATTTTGAACGTTTATCATTTGGTGAGATATTGTGGTTCTCAAATTCATGATTCCCTTACCTTTGCAATGAATAATTATTTTACGTCGAGATAGTGACCTCATAGGCAATTTGTAATGCAGGACTTACTTGATTGCAACCTTACGATTTTCAGTGGTTTAAAAAGAGAGTGTTTTTATTCTTTATGCGATAATTGATCGTCGCACGATTATTTGGCTGACTAAATCAATGACGTGAAAATGCGGCTGTTCAAAAGTCGAAATTACAGGCCCTGCCAGACGGAAAGAACAGCTTAGTTGTTCCAAATTAAAACTGCAGTTCTTGAATGATTCTGAAGCCGAAAGTTCATGCACTCAATCTGAGTTATTAGGTTGGCTCAGGATTAAGAAAACAGGAGCTTATGCTCTCTCGACTAACCCTAACCCTAACCCTTAGCTAACGCTCGAAACGTCAGCTTTTTTACCCTTTACGGTGGCTAATTTACGTTTTCAACCCAGTTGTTAACACTAAATTACCTGCTATACTCTCCCACCGACGCAGCACCACAGTTTCTTTAGAAACTTACCCCTTTATAAGCTTACGTTCTATTGATAGGAAAAGAGGCCTCTGCTGCTCGATGTAAGAAAATGATATCCTTCAGTGGGGAAGTTTTTGTTAAGTACCTCATCCCTAAAACTAGTAACACAGCTATTTGATATTCTTTTGATTCCAGTGTGTAAAGATATAAAACACAGAGAGAAAGAGGAGGAGTTATATTTTTCAGGTGAGATGAGGATATGATTTTATCTTACGTAAGTGTGAATGAGACAATAGTTTTGAAAGCCCGGATTAAGTGGAGAAAGGGCGGAATGGGGGGGGAGGAAGAAGAAACAGGAAGCTGCTTTTGGTCAGTTTTATTTGTAATTGATAACATACAGCGTCTGGATAGATACAAAATGAAATGCTTGCTTTGCAGATTTGGAAAACGAAGGGAAATTAGTAGTCCCCTTACTTAAAGCTTTGTGTGAAGCAATTGAGGACAAAGTCTCCAATGGAAGATCGTACATTGAAAAGATGAGAAATGCGAGGCAAAGTGAGTTCCATCAATTTTAGACGCAATACTCTGTAACAAATAGTTCATTTGCAATTTAGTGTGAGAGTATACGTCGCACGTGGCTTCGGCGCCATTTTTATTGGAAGGGTACAACTATGATAATATAGGATAACAAAAGCGGCGTCGGATGCACTTCTGAATTCATGCAGTTTTGTATTGTTACAATCACAGCATGAAATCGCAAATTTACGCATCTTTATCTCTTGCGTAAAGAACGTAAATATAAAGCCTTTTCTTTACGGACAAGTTCCGTGTTCCGTAAAGATACGTAAATGCGGAGAAAGCGTAAAGACTGCGTAAAGGATATTGAATGTTCGTAAAGGATAAGGAATAAGATGGATATAATCAAGCACTTTCTATTTGGAGAAATACTCAAAGAAGTGAAATAATTATGGCTCATCCATCTTCCGTAGAATTACCGTGGTATTTTGACCAGTTTCGCTTTTAACACTTTACACGTCTTTAATAGTAATAATAATAATACGGTCGTTGTAAAATATCGTAAATATCCTCTATACGACTTTTTAAAAGGCACGTAAAGATAGCGTTTTTAGTTTCTCCCTGATCTTTAAGTACTATCGTTTTCAATGCGTAAAGACAATCTTTACGAAAGTGTAAAGAAGTTCGTAAAGACGCGTAAAGAGGATCTCCTCGCTTACTTTAAGGCATATTTACAGATTCGTAAATTTATAATTTCATGCTGTGATAATTGGCTTTGGAAGCTAGTGCATTTAACTGAATCGCGCGCGTTTTGCCGCGTTTGGCGTCTCTCACGGGTGGCTCTTTTGATATTTTATTGGCT